GGCGGCGGCACCGCCCCAGCAGCGGCGGGCGCGGGCGTTGCGAGCGGCGGCGGTGCCAAGGGCGGCAGCAACGGCGGCGGGGGGACCGTGGGCGGTGCCGCGGGCGGCGCGTCGCTGGGTGTTGTTGAGCTGGCGCTGCAGCAGCTGGAGGATGTTGAGCGCCTGGAGGGGCTGGTGGCGTCCTCTGGGCTGCTGGCGGGGACGTGGCACCTGGGGGTGCGCCTGAGGGACCACCTGCTGGTGAGGGGCTGCGGCCTGGGGGTCGGGTGCACAGAGCCGGGTGCAGAGTGCGGTGCAGAGTGTGGTGCAAAGTGTGGTGCAGGTTACCTGTGAGCAGTGTATGGGGAACGAGAGCCTCAGGGGCCCAGCCTGCTTTGCATGTGGACTGGATTACGGCGCTTTGCCGCCGCCGCTAACGGCCCTGCTTGCGTCGCCCTACCTACGGCCGCACTGCCTCCGGCCGACCACTCCTGCTTTTGGACCTTCCCCACCAAATCTCAACCGCAGGGCTACGCCTCCGTGACCCCCCTGGCGCTGACCCCCGGCCACGCCTGCCTGCTGGGATCCATCGCGTCATGCGCGCCACGCCTGGTCAGCCTGAGTGTGTCCGGCAAGGTGGAGCTGCCGGGTCCCACCCTGGCCGCCCTGCTGGGGGGCCCGCTGTCGGGGCTGCGCGCTCTGGCGCTGGACGTCCACTTCTGCGGCTGCGGCAGCGGAGCCCTGGACGGCCTGCGGGGCATGACAGACCTGGAGGTGGGTTTGTGTGTGTGTGGGGGGTGGAGGGGGCGCGTAACCTCGGACCAGATTGAGTGCCGGGCCGCTGCTGTCGGCTCAGCAGGATGCCTGAGGGCGGGTTGGCAGCCAGGTGGCGAGCCTTGCAATCATCACGTCACAATCCATCTCAACACACACACACACACGCGCACATGCACACATACGCACGCACGCACGCGCACCCGCACGCACACACACGCACGCACACACACGCACACACGCACGCACACACACACGCACACACACACGCACGCATACACGCACAAACACACACACACACACACACACACGCACGCACGCACGCACACACACACACACGCACGCACGCGCGCGCACACACGCACACACACACACATGCACCTCCTCACTCCCCCTCCCAGGCGCTGGTCCTGCGCCACCGCGGTGCCGGCAAGGTGCCGCTGTCCCTGGCGCAGCTACCGCCCTCCCTCACCAGCCTGGCCCTCAAGAAGGCGCTGCTCACGCTGGAGGACGACGGGGCAGACGCGCGCTGGCAGCAGCAGCAGCGGCGGGGGGCGGCCGCAGCGGATGGGGCGCAGGGGCAGGCACAGGAGGGGCCGTCAGAGCAAGGGGAGGCCACTCTGGGCGCGACGGGCCGCCCGCCAGCGACTGCAGAGCCTGTCAGCAGCAGCAGCAGCGGCAGCAGCGGCGGCGAAGGAGGCGGCGGCGCCGCCCACGCGGCCGCGCTCCCGCCCCGCCCGCCGTCGCGGCAAGGCGGAGGCCCCGCGCCGCGCCCGGCGCCGGTTGCGCTAGCACCGCCGCGCGGCGGGGACGATGGCGGCGCCGCTGCCGGCCCGAGCCACGCTGTGACGTCGCCCCAATTTGTGAGGGCCGTGGCGCTGGGCAACATTTCGACACCAGACATGGCACGCCTCGCGGCGCCGAACCCAGCCTTCAGCGGTGGCGCCCGCGGCAGCGGCGGCGTGATCAGCGGCCGCGCTGCGGCCGGCGGCGCCTCCCCGCGTGGCAGCCAGGCCGTGGCTGGCCCGGCTAGCACGAGCGGCTGCGGTGTTGGCGACGGGGTTGGGGACAAGCGTGGGCAGCCTGCCGCCGAGGAGCTGGCTCCCTGTTTGGCCCGCCTGCGCGCTCTGTTCCTGCACACGTGCCTGACACAGGCGTGCGTGGCGGGCTGCGTGGCGGGCGTGTCGTCACAGCTGACGCAGCTGGCGGTGGTGGGGCCCGACGTGGGGGCTGGGGAGGAGCAGGAGGCGTGGCTGGCTGAGGTGGCGGCGGGGCGGCTGCGCGGCGTGCAGGTGGGTGTTGCTCGCCCCGGCCTGCGCATCCGGGGTTGTGGGTGTCAAGGCCAGGGGGTGGTCGCCGCCTGCAGCACTCAGCAGCAAGTGCTCTGCAGCACTTGGCAGCAGGGGCTGCTGAGAATTTTGGGGCAGGCAGGACAGGACCTTGCCACTGGGGCCGGGTGGACGGTGCAGGCTGCTGCACGGAATGGGTGATGCCGCCGACCCAGCGCTGCGGCGCCGGCAGCGGCTGAAGCCCGAGCGCCTGCACCGCGGCAGAGCCGCGTCGCGTCATCACCCTCGCCCTCCCCCTCCACCC